CATTTCCCCATGCTATTTTTAGTCTCCATTCTGTAGTAGAAGTCATATTTCTGGCTTCTATTGCTTGCTTTTAACACCAAACCCCAGTGGGCTGGCTGTTTAGCCCCACATGCTACTAGAGAGGTTACTTTGTGCTTTATTAAACTTCTATGACGCACTTATAAAGTATGTCCATCACAATATGAGCTTACTATGTCAACTTGCCGGGAAGTCTTCTGTAGCTTTCCTAATCCTCATCTGCCCCTGGCTTTTCCCTTCTAGTGACTTACTGAATGAACAAACGCTCAGGAAGAAGGCTGAGTTAGAATCAGCACGGTGCCGGCTCCAACTTCAGGTCCTTGTTGATAAATGCACTAAACTCAATAACCGTGTCCAGGTGAGTTTGTCTTTTCTAATTCAAAAAAACTTCTAGAATCAGAATTAAAAAGAAGGGCAGCTTAAGAGGGATCTAAATATCACTTAGGTTTATCTCAATGATAGGACATTTAGCCAAAACCCATAGATGGATGAATTCTATGAGGGCTTCAGACACATAACAACCATTAAGGATTTCTTTTCCCTAATAGTTACTAAATCTCTGCATTCTTTAGCTCAGCCTTGGTGAGATACTCTGAAATCCAGTTAAGATAACTGGTAACATTTTCATGGTTAGCAAGAAATCTTTTATCCAATCAAGAAATCATTCTTGCTGGACGGTGGTGGCACACATCTTTAATCCTAGCACTTGGTGGGCAGAGGTAGGCAGACCTCTGTGAGTTTGAGGCCAGCTTGGTCTATGGAGTGAATTCCAAGACAGTCAGGGCTACACAGAGAAACCCTGTCTTGGTAAACAAAAACAAGCAAAAAAAGAAAATTAAAAAAAGGAAGAAAAAGAAAGAAAACCAAAGAGGGGCCGTGTTCCCTTACAAAGTTTTTTACGTTGTAGGACTTGGAAAAGATTGTTGTGCGCTATCAGAACTCAGCCGAGCAAAGCTCCCAAGCGCTTTGTGGGATCTGCCTACCCTCCAGCCAGAGCCAGCGCAAATACAACTCAGAAAAGACCTTCACGGTTTCTCAGACGGGAAACTGCCGCATCATGGCATATTGTGATGGTCTGAGCTGCCTGGTGGCGTCCCAGCCATCTCCGCAGGCTTCCTTCCTTCCAGGTAAACAACTCAGAACCTCGGCTTTGCGGCTGTTAGACTCCATAGTGCTCTTCCCTTTCTGAAGATTCTTGGACTCAGTGGTGGTTAAGGACTGGTAATCAACTCACTTTTTCGGTCTGTCTGTCTGTTAATTTAGTGCAAGTACTTCAGGTGCTACAAAGAAAGATGCCTTTCATAGCTTGGCATGGTGGCACAGCCTTTAATCCCAGCACCTAAGAGCTGGGCATATTGTTCTACATAGCAAGTTCCAGGAAAGTTGGGCTACATAAAGAGAGCCTGTCTCAGCCGGGCGGTGGTGGCGCACGCCTTTAATCCCAGCACTTGGGAGGCAGAGGCAGGTGGATTTCTGAGTTCGAGGCCAGCCTGGTCTACAGAGTGAGTTCCAGGACAGCCAGGGCTACACAGAGAAACCCTGTCTCAAAAAACCAAAAACAAAACAAAACAAGAGAGCCTGTCTCAAAACAAAAGGCCATATCTTTAATAGCTGGGTCTGCTGTCACACCTGTAGCGGCAGCATTCAGGAGGTAGAGGCAAAAGTTAGGCCACTGTGGTCTCCATAGTGAGATCCTGCTTTGAACAAATAGAAAACGTTTCTTTCAGCTATAAGTAGTTCTTTAATCGCTGCCCAGCCCACTGCCCTTCTTAAGAAAAATTCTTCCATATATATTGCTTTTATTTTGCAAATTACCAATACCAGTAACAATGGGAGCGTGAGAAAGGAGGTACATGGAAGTGTCAGTTGTCACTGCTGTAGTCAAAGGAGAAAAATATTCCCTGTGTGTCATTTACTTTACAGATTCATTCGCACTGTTTTACAAAAACTGCCCCAGAGGTTAACTCAAATTTAAACAAAATTTAATAATTTTAATTGCAAATAAGAGAATGTCAGGAATATAGTAGTCATTTTTCTAATGGGGAGATGACTCGCTGGTTAAGAGCTCTTTCTGCTCCTTCAGACAGGAAATGGTACTCTCTTCAAGTGTGATAGTTCAAAGCTTAGCACCTTTTATAATCTGATTTTCTTTTTTTCTTTCTTTTTTTTTTTTTCTCGAGACAGAGTTTCTCTGTGTAGCCCTGGCTGTCCTGGAACTCACTCTGTAGACCAGGCTGGCCTCAAACTCAGAAATCCGCCTGTCTCTGCCTCCCAAGTGCTGGGATTAAAGGCGTGTGCCACCACCGCCCGGCCTTTTTTCTTTTTTTTTTAATTTTTTTTCTTTTTCTTTTTTTAAAAAATATTTATTTGTGTCTTATAGTTTTACTGCTGTGAACAGATAACAAGATTAAAGCAATTATTATAAGGACAACATTTAATTGGGGCTGGCTTACAGGTTCAGAGGTTCAGTCCATTATTATCAAGGCAGGGGCATGTGAGCATCCAGGCAGGCATGGAGGAGGAGCTGAGAGGTCTACATTTTCATCTGAAGGCTGCTAGGAGAAGACTGTATTATTTGTTTGTTTTATGTATATGACAAGTACACTATAGCTGTATTCAAACACACCAGAAGAGGGCATCGGATCCCAGTGCAGATGGTTGTGAGCCACCATGTGGTTGCTGGGAATTGAACTCAGAACCTCTGGAAGAGCAGTCAGTGCTCTTAACCACTGAACCACCTCTCCAGGCCGCTTAGCGCCCTTGTTAGGTAACTCACAGCCACCTATAAAGCGGCTTCTAGTTCCAGGGACTCTAACGCCCTCTTCTGGCTTCCTTGGGTACCTACATTCATATGCATATACCCACACAGAGATAAACACACAAAACTAGGGCTGGAGGGATGGCTAAAAGCAGTCAAGTTCACTAACTGCTCTTCCAGAGGACCTGGGTTCAATCCCCAGCCACCCACATGGCAGCTCACAGGCATCACAACCTATAACTCCTGTTCCAGGAGATCTGCAACCCCTTTTCTGGCCTCTTGAGGGCCCCAGTAGGCCCATGGTGTACATCATATGTGTAGGCAAAGAATAACTATAAATGAATCTTAAATAAAACTTGACATCTTAGTTTCTCCAGCCCCTTGTCTCTGTTCTTTATTGCTGCTGTCCTTGAATCTTGTGTTACCTCCTTTTTTAGGTAATATGCTTGGCATTTGTCCAAATGACTGATTTTGTCAATTTGAGACTAGGTCTTACTGTATAGACCATGCTGGCCTCAAACTTTTTAATATCCTACCATGCCCACCTGTCTCAATCTTTACTAAAATATAAATGTCATAAAATTAAATCATACAAATTTGTAATATCTTTTATCTAACTTTTTCCCTTCTACTCACTCATAGGCAGCCACCGATCTGCCTTTTGTCAGTGTACGTTCTAGAACTTTATATAAATGGCTTCATACAGCATATGCTTTTTGTTTAAGATCCATATTTTTATGTAAATTGATAGTTTATTGCTGGGTGTATCTCATATATATACTTGGTAGATTTGTTTGTTCATCCATCTCTTGATGGATATTTGAAATGAACTTTGCTTTTAAAAAATTTTTTAAGTATAGCCAACCCTAAGGTGCTTGGCCTGGTGGCACACACCTTTGATCCTAGCACTCTACACAGAGGAAGGCAGGTCTCTGAGTTCAAGGCCAGCCTGGTCTACAGAGCAAGTTCCAGGATAGCCAGGGCTATCCAGAAAAACAAAGTATAACTTTGGGGAATATTCATTTTCATTATATGACTAGCTGTTTCCTAGGAACTAGGATTCCAAGAAAGGTAAGCAAATTACTTTTGAAAGGTGCTGATTACTTTTAAAGACAATTGTATTTTGCCATGATTTATTTTTATGTACCTGTTTTACCTCTCTTCTTTGGCAGGCTTTGGTGTTAAGATGTTGAGTACTGCCAACATGAAAAGCAGCCAGTATATTCCTATGCATAGCAAGCAGATTCGCGGACTAGCTTTCAGCAATCAGTCCAGAGGCTTGCTCCTCTCTGCCTCCCTAGACAGCACTATTAAACTGACCAGGTAAGGGAATCAAGGGAAAGATGGGGCCTGGGCCACTGTGCATCTGGGCACTACTGTCTTAGTGTTATGATGCCCTTAGTTCTTTTATTGATCTGAGGCATAGCCTTCTTTTAAAAGTATATAAGCAGCCAGACACATACCTTCAAGCCCAACATCAAGAGGCAGGCAGAGCTCTTATAAGTTTTAGGCTGACCTATAGTGAGTTCTAGGACAACCAGGCCAAAATTAATTAATTAGTTAATTAATTAAAATAAAAGTCTATAAGCCCTGTGTAGTGATTGACACCTGTAATCCTATCACTTGCGGTCCTGACAGGCATGAGGATTACCGTGTGTTTGAAGTTAGCTTAGACTACATATTGAATTCCAGGACAACGTGAACTACAGAGTTAGACCCTGTCTAAAAACAAAGACAGAAAAATAGACATAAATTGGGGGTCGTGGTAGCAGGTGCCTGTAATTCCAGTGTCTAAAAGGTAGAGACACAAGGATCAGGACTAAGGTCAACCCAAGATGCATGAGACTGGGCGAAAAAGGAAAATTTGAGGGGGAGGGGAGAGGACAGACAGTGAGACAGACAGAGAGAGACAGCAGGTCACTAAGTTAATGCAAGGTAACCTGAATCGTGTTTGTTGGGTTTTATAGTACTTGAGATTGAGCCTGGGTCTGGAGTGTTCGAGACAAGCATTCTATCATGTATGTGAGCCAGGGATGTAGCTCGGGTAGAACGCTTGCCTACCATTGGTCCCTGGGTTCGTTGCCTAGCATCTCAAAAGGTCTGGGGAGTTGGGATGAGTTGTTAATGGCTACCTCTGGATGGTTGGATTAGTTTTTGGGTTTTCTTACATATTTTACTTTCTTTCATTGCTTGCTGTGTGACAGTTAACTACAGAGAAAGTAAATACAATTTTGTGAAAGATTTTATTATTAAATATTATCAACATTATAGACATGATTTTCTTAATCCGTAGTGGTAAAGATCTCTTCTAACTCCGCAGCCTAGATACAAATACTGTGGTGCAGACTTACAACACTGGACGTCCTGTCTGGAGCTGTTGCTGGTGTCTTGACGAAAACAATTACATCTATGCCGGCCTGGCCAATGGTTCGATCCTGATATATGACCTACGGAACACAAATACCTATGTTCAGGAATTAGTTCCGCAGAAAGCCAGGTACGAAGAACAACTCGTTTTATGTAGGTCACGGTGTTCTTAATAGATTGCTACTGTATTAGTTCTTTTCTTGGAGTGTATCCATAGTTGACCACAATCTAAAGTCTGGTACTTTCTCACTTCAGAGTCAATAGAATTTGAGGCTGGGTAAGGTGGTACACTCCTTTATTCCCAGCAACTGGGAGGCAGGCAGATCTCTGTGAGTTCCAGGACAGTCAGGGCTATGCAGAGAAACCCTGTCTCAATCAATCAATCAATAAGAAAAGAAAGATTTTGCTTGTATAGCTGTGCATAATCAAATTCATAGGAACGTCGCCTGTAGGACGGTGTTTGTGGAAGGTGTCTTAGCATATAGTAACGATCATAAACTGGTAGAAGGATATTTAGAAACTAATCAAAGCCAGGCCCACACTTTTAATCCCACGCAACACTCAGGAGGCAGAGACAGGCTGATACTGGAGGCTTGCAGGTTCCAGGATAGCCAGGGCAGGGCTACACAGAGAAAACCCTGTCTTGAAGGGAAAGAAAAAAGAGGAAGGTTTTGTTTGTTTCTTTGTTTTGTTTGCCTGATGATGGAAGCACACACTTTTAATACCAGGGAGGCAGAGGCAGACAGCTCTCTATGAATTTGAGGCCAATCTGGTATACAAAGCCAGTTTTAGGACAGCCAAGTCTACATAGAGAAATTTTATTTCAAAAACCAACCAAAACAAGAAAAATCATCTTTTTTTTTTCTGAGTTAAAATATGATTTGCTTTTAGGCCATGTTTTTGTTACTGGGTGTTTTTTTTGTTTTGTTTTTAATTTTTTAAAACTTTTATATGCATTGATGTTTTGTCTGTATGTATGTCTGTGTGAGGGTGTCGGGGCCTCTGGAACTGGATGGAGTTACAGACAGTTGTGAGCTGTCATGTGGGTGCTGGGAATTGAACCCCTGGTCCTCAAAAAGAACAGCCAGTGCTCTTAACCACTGAGCCACCTCTCCAGTCTGTTACAGGGTTTTTCTTTGGAAGCATCCAATGTATCCTATTGGATAAGTTATTTCAGTGAAATGATCCAGTTCAAGCCAAATTAGAGTATATATAAAGACATATTTGTTGGGAAACCACTTTTGGGGGCAAGTACACTGTTAACAAAGGAAGGAAACCAGGGAAGTCACCATGAGGAGAGACAGGGAAGTGGGAAGAGAGAGAAAGCATACGCACACAGACAAAGAAGTGAGAAGGGGTGGGGGCGGGAAGGGACCAAAATGTCTGTGTTATATGGGGAAAAGGCCCTGTGGGAAGGGAAGCCAAGCTCCTGGGCTGGAAGTTCAGAGTGTGGAGGGTGGGGACTGAGATGCTGGAAGAACCAGATAGGGACTGAGGGATGCTGGGAGAACCTGGAGGCTAGGTCCACTTTGGTAAGTTAAATGTGCACCTCAGCTCCTTATCCTGGGTTTGAATCCAAGCTATGTTGAAAGTAGCTGCAGAATCCCAGCACTTGGGAGGCAGAGGCAGGTGGATTTCTGAGTTCGAGAGTTCGAGGCTAGCCTGGTCTACAGAGTGAGTTCCAGGTCAGCCAGGGCTACACAGAGAAACCCTGTCTTGAAAAACCAAACCAAAAAAAAAAAAAAGTAGCTGCAGAATATTATAGGAATTTCCTTTTTATTTCTCTTATTGAGATGGCTCCTTGCTTTTTAGAGGGTGCAGGAGGATATTTAACCCTTCTGTTTGACTTCTGTTGAGTTGGGAATGTGGCCCAGGTCTCCTGGTCTTGAGGTCTGTAGCAGCCGAAGTGTTGGATTTGGAACGTATGTCATGGTTTCCTTTTTTTGCCTTCAGATGTCCTCTGGTATCGCTGTCATACTTACCCAGAGCTGCAGTGACTGCGTTTCCTTATGGTGGGGTGCTGGCTGGAACCTTGGAGAATGCATCCTTCTGGGAGCTAAAAACAGACCTCTGTCACAAGCCCCATCCACTGTCCTTGGAGCCTGGGGGCTTTGTAGACTTTCAGACAGAGAGCAGCACCCGACACTGTCTTGTGACTTACAGGCCTGGTGAGTTCTGAAGTTCTTATGGGCCTGCTGCTATTTTGGTGGTTGGGAGTGGGAGTGAGAGTAGGGGAGGAGAGGTAAAGGTAAGAAGAGACTGGGCGGCTTTGGTCAGCCTCTCTAAGGCCGACAGGCTGTGCTGCGATTCTTGGTACTACTGTGAAGATGGTGGCTCCCGTTTACTCCACGGAGCCTGCTTCCCTACCCTGTATTTGAAAGCTTCCTGCCATATACTTCTGGAAGTGAATTAACCACTCCAGGGTCCTGTGTATCTAACATCAGTGATAGAATGAGGTGATCTACCCTTGAGTCCATCTCTTCACCTCAGTCCACTGTTGTCTGCCCCTTACTTCACCTAAGAAAAGGCCCCAGCTGGAAAAGGCCTGATACCAGATCAGGGTTTGAGTTCAACAAAGTTAAGATGGACAGCATGGGTTTGTGGGACTATCTAGGCAGCTAAACTCCACTGCCTCCAAATCAGTGGATAGAACTCTGAGCAGCTATTCATTTACAGGTTTGTTTTGTTTTCACCTAAAGGAAAAAATCTATTCCTGATGGTCAGTTTGGTGAAGGTTTGCCCCTTTAACTTGGTCTTGAGGTCTTCAGAGAATGGCCTGAGCTCTAGTCCTGCCCTTATGGGATTCTGGGTATTTAGAGATGGCTGCCTATGGTCTACTGTTCACAAGATATGCCTTCGTCCTGGCAAGCACCTCGTATCTTAAGTTATAACCTGTAAATAGGTGTCTCTCTCTCAGGAAATTTGTTTATACTGGCAGATATACCTGGTCTGAGTCCCAATTTATCCCTACCTAGACAGTTACTGTCTGAGAGAGCCCCAACTAGATCAGAAGATAGGTTCAGGTGAGTCACAGGCAGCATAACAAAATTCACAAATAACAAAAGCAGGTTTACTACTTAAAGCTCCAGGAAAAAGAGTCCAGCTCTTCAGACCACTTTGATCTGCCCCTCACTTCACCAAAATAAAGGGGCTGGAAACGGTGTGATACCATGTCACCAAAGTCGACACTAAAAATGGTTCTAAGGACGCGACTCTAGTAATCATACATATGACAGCCAGGTAGATCTGTCAAGTGTGTTGGTCAGATTGATCATCAGAGTGCCCATTTGTGGACAGATCTTATCATTGTGTGTGTGTTTTGTCTGGGAAACTGTTTGAATTCCTGCTTCTGGCCTTTTGGCTCTTACCAAATCATGCTGTGACTTACATAGAAAGCGTAGGGGTCCCGTTTTATTTTCATGATCTTGTCTGTCTCAGAAGTACCTTAGATACGACTCTACTGTGGTGATAACTAGCTAATGGACTCCTCAGTGGAAGAAGGAAAAATACCATTAGAACGCTGGAACAATACATTCCCCAGGTCTCAGAGGGTGCAGTGATTTTATAGAACCAGTGCATTCTCGGAGTCATTTCTCTAGTAGGAAAAACCTCCTGCAGGCAATTTCCTTCATCCTAGCCCAGGCTTCTGAATTTTGTTTGTGCTGTATTGCTGTATTTGCTTTGTAGAGCTTGTGGCTTAATGTATTTATCTTTTCTACCCAAGTAGGTTGTAAATATCTGAGATTCAGATACTTAATTTCTTTTGCTTCGCCTCCATGAGGTAACACTGATGATTCTCTGCCTCATAGATAAAAGCCATAACACCGTACGAACCGTGCTATTCGAGATGTCTTACAAACTGGATGATGCCGGAGAGCCGGTCTGTTCCTGCCTTCCCGTGCAAACATTCCTTGGGGGTCCCACTTGCAAACTGTTGACCAAAAGTGCCATCTTCCAAAGCCCAGAGAACGATGGCAATGTCCTAGTATGTACTGGGGATGAAGCGTCACAATCTGCCCTGGTGAGTGAGCCTATTTTACTTTATATTTTAAAATAGCTGGGTCTTTGAGGACCTAGTCTGGTTGATAGGCACTTGTCTTTATGAAGCATGCAGCATATATGAGGGAGTCAGAGACATGCAGGGACACACATATATATAGACACGTGGACACACAGACTATCACTGTATATAGTGATTACACCATAGGTGTTAAACAATATGAAGTTATAGCTCAAGTAAAGGGAAGAAAACAGCATCACTAAATATATCAAAGTTACTTACGGAGGCTGGGAAGATGGTTCATTTGGTAAAATGTAAAGTACTTGTCAAGTTAGCATGAAGGCCTGAGTTCAGATCTTAGTATGCATGTAAAAAGCCAAACAAGGCAGTACATCCCTGCAGACAGATCTCTAAATTCAAAGCCAGCCTGGTTTATATAGTGAGTTGCAGTTCATCCAGGGCTCCATACTGAGATCCTGTCTCAAAAAAAAAAATTAGAGTCTTGTCGATGGTTTATTATACCATTTTTGCTGTTTGTTTTTTTTTTTTTTTTTAAAAGCTGGGCAGTGGTGGCGCACACCTTTATTCCCAGCACTTGGGAGGCAGAGGCAGGCGGATTTCTGAGTTCAAGGCCAGCCTGGTCTACAGAGTGAGTTCCAGGACAGCCAGGGCTACACAGAGAAACCCTGTCTTAAAAAACCAAAAAAAATTTTTTTTTTTTTTTTTTTTTTAATGAGTACACTGCAGCTGTGTTCAGGCACACACCAGAAGAGGGCATCAGATCACATTACAGATGGTTGTGAACCACCATGTGGTTGCTGGGAATTGAACTCAGGACCTCTGGCAGAGCAGTCAGTGCTCTTAACCGCTGAGCCATCTCTCCAGCCTGCTGTTTCTTCTTTTTAATTATTTGTTTACTTTACATTCCAATTACAGCCTCTCCTCCTAGTCCGTCCCTCTTACCCCCTCCCTCATCCATGCCCTTTTTTTGCTGTTTGAAAATATTTTTGAGACGGTCTCATTGTATACTCATTGTATAGGTCTTGCCAGCCTCAAACTCATAATTGAGAGCTGCCTGTCTCTGCCTTCTGAATGCTGGGGTTAACGGCGTTCTTATGATCTCAGGGAGGGTGAGTCTGTGTGTTACACTGCAGGGGTAGAGGTCAGGGAGCGAGGGCGGAGGCTTTGTTCTCCTGCTACCTTTACCTGGTGTTTGAGCATCTAACTCAGTAGGCTCACATGGCAAGTGTCTTCTCACTGTGCCACGTCACTGGTATACCCTGTTCTCAATACTTTACAATGGTTCTTGTAAGAAAACTTTTAGAAAATCAAACACTTGCTAGCATGTGTGTGCCGTGGCTGGAGAGATGACCCAGCAGTTAAGAGGTTGTACTCCTCCTCCAGAGGATCCAAGTTTGGATCCCAACACCTAAATTAGGTGGCTCACAGCCAGCTATAATTCCAGCTCCAAGAGATCCACATTCTTCCATGGGTACTCCATGTAGACACACATAATTAAAATAAATATATTTCTTTAAATATATGTTCCATGAGGACAAAGATAGTGGTCTTGTCTCATTGACTTTTCTGTCTCTAGAAGGGACAGCATTTAGAAGACATTTGACACTTAGATGAAAGAAATGAGTCCTTGGCTTGCTTTTCAAGCCAGCCTACGGTGTGCTGGTTTTGTAGAATGTTACGGTTAGAGACAGTTATTCCCCGCCTGGGCTGACTGTTGACCTCTACTTCTGCTTGTTTTTTTGTTTTGTTTTAAGTTGTGGAATGCTGGCAGTGGCTCATTGCTGCAGAACCTGAAGACGGATGAGCCTGTCTTGGACATCTGCCCATTTGAATCGAATCAGAACAGCTATTTGGCCACCTTAACAGAGAAAATTGTCCACATTTATAAGTGGGAGTGAGCTCGGTCCTGAGACTTGGAGACACGCCGCTAGCTAATGTTGCATTGTTTTAGCACCTCGTAACCCTGAGCAAAGATACCCGTTACACACTGGAACTGGAGTGTCTGGATCATGGCTCACTGGATTAGTGTGATTGCGTATCACTGAGACGCCAGGACTGTGTGTGCTGTTGGCACCAAATGAGTACCTTTGTGAATCTTGCCTGGAAATTTTTTTTTTTTTACTTAAATTCTGTAGGATCTTACAGTCCTCTCAACTGCTATTTAGGATATGAGTATGCACCAAACATTTTGGGGTTGTGATAACTACCCAATCTAAACTGTTGGCTTAAAAGTGGTACACGAAGGGCCTGTCTTGCTTCTTGGATGCAAAAGATACATGGGTGAGTCTTCCATTAAGCACAAGGACACTATTAATATCTTGTGTAGAGTTTGACCTATTTCCAAGTCTGAATGCTTATAACCTTTTAGTGACTTGATTTTGCCCATAGCCCTGTGCTGCTATCTGCCCCCAGTGTCTGGTACTTCTGTGTGGTATGCTTTGTGGCAACAAGTTACATCCCAGGTATCCATGCCTTCTAGAATGTTGATAAGTCCAATGATGGAGGTGGCTGATGAGGTAGCCATATGTAAAACCATAGCTTTAAGCTTTGTGCGGTAAGTTCATTGCATTGGTAAGGAAAGGGACCAGTTGTTAAAGACTTGGATTTTTCTAGTTAGCCTGAGATACTCAGGGGTTTTTACTACCCCCAAAGTCAATGCTTAAGGATATATAATTCCCAAGTAAAGGCTTTCCTGTCCCACTTATTTTCTGAAAATGTTAATGACGTGGTTATCCTCAGGAAAGCAATAGTGGCCAGAGATCCGTGGATGACAGAAGGGAAGACACTTAGAAACTTCCATCCTGGTGGTCCTGAATTGTCCAGCATTTAGAGGCACGATCAGGTTATGTTTGTCTACTTTGCTTTAGGCTACCCCACTAAACCACTGCCCCTAGGACACCTTGTCTCAAGGTGTAGGCAACCTGTCTGATTTTCTCAGGTGTTATTTGAAGCACTATCTTTTTCATGCCTATCATGCCTGTCAAACTCCTGTGCTTTTTTGGGGATCTTTATTGCCAACAAGGGATTATTAAGGGGAAATTGTTAATTTTTCCAGGATTCCAAGTTGTGTCTGTATCTGCTTAATGAAACCTTCTATTTGAAGATGCATAGTTTGTTTTGTTTTTAAAACGTAAAGTAAGCTTTAAAAATGTCAGCTTCCATCCAGTTGAGGTGGTGCATTCCTTTGGTCCCAAACACTCTGAAGGCAGAAACAGGTGGATCCTTGTGAGTTCAAGGCCACCCTCACTAGAAAGTGAGTTTTGGACAGCCAAAAACTACAACGTGGAGAAATCCTGTCTTAAAAAAAAAAAAAAAAAAAAGGCAAACGAAAAATGTCAGCTTCTACTGCTTGGAGAAAAGTTGCTTTCTTTCCCTCTCTCCCCCCCCGAGATGCTTTTGATAGATTGTTGGTCTGGGGCAGGGTTAGGATTTGACTTGCCTTGAAGAACATTTAACTAAGGATGACTGGGGGATTTGCCACCACAGAAGCTGAGCCGAACATCAAGCCTTGCCGGGTTTTGCTTTTCCACACTAAGTTTGGGTTGGAGTCGGTGCATGCCAGGACCTCAACCTGGTTACGTTTTTTTCTGTTCTACCACTGTTATTAGAACCCCAGATCTGTATTTTGGAAGCACATTTACTTTATGGACCGATTCTCCAAAGACATCCTTACCCCTACTTGCAAGAAACTTCATCTCTAAATCTAGTCTTAGCACCAGCAGGATCTGCATGTTTTTAAATCTTGTCATAGGGCATTGGGATTTCTGAATATTTGCTGTACTGCATTTCAGTGTTTGTTTTAATGTTAACAAAATAAAAATTTGTAATGTATAACACCAATCCCAGTGTCTTCTGCTTGTTTACTAGAGGCAGGAGTATACCTGCCTCTTGGGAAAGGTAGGGGCATAATCCTACCCTAGGAGATTGTCCATCTCAGCCAGTACTGGCTATGAGTTAAACAGAATGGTCCCTAGAGCTATGTAAATGCTTATTTAATTAGCCATCTTTGAGTCAGAGTCTCATGTAGCACAGGTTGTACTTTAATGTAGGAAAGGCTAGCCCTGGTTCTTGCTTACCTATACCTCCCAAATGCAGAGATTACAGGTGTGCTCCACTGTGCCCAGTATAAATATTTTTTCTAAACTGGTGAGGCTCCAGCTGCCAGTTCTTTTTGCTGTTACTAATTGGAAGCTTCATTTGCCTCTTAAATCAACCAAGTATGGGAACACATACTTGTAATCCCAGCACTCAGCAAACAGCCTGGAAGGTTACAAGTTTAAGGCCAGACTGAGAGAGAGATTCCTCAGACTCTCCTGCTTGGTGGCTTCCTGTTACTGCTTTAAGACTGGAAGAGATGAAAAGAAATTTCTTAAAATTATTTGCCAATACTTTGACAAGGATATTATCAGTGAGCAAGTATGGCCCTTGAGTTCTGCCTGCTCAGCACAGTTCTGGCCATGTGCTTCAGATTGTTCTGCTTTGAATTAGTATGTTCGCACAAACCTGCTCTACAGTTAGACTGGAAAAGGTGGAAATGTCATCCAGTTGAACAACAAATAAGAGTATACTGGTATTGTTACAGAGCCAAGTGTTTCAGGGAAAGAGGGAGTTATGGGGTAGAAATAAATCCCAAATTGCTAAGAATCCTAACATTTTTGTTTCTTTTTTTTTTTGTTTTTCGAGACAGAGTTTCTCTGTGTAGCCCTGGCTGTCCTGGAACTCACGCTGTAGACCAGGCTGGCCTTGAACTCAGAAATCCTCCCGCCTCAGCCTCCCAAGTGCTGGGATTAAAGGTGTGCACCACCACTGCCTGGAAACTTTTTTTTTTTTTTTAAGTTATTGTGTATGTATTGCTGGCTGGTCTGGAACTCAACATGTAGCCTTGCAAACCAGATCCACCTGCCTCTGTTTCTCAAGTCCTGGGATCAAAGGAGTGCACAGTACATTCTGAGAGGACCAAATTGGCCAGAGCCACACTGACTCCATGACAGGCTTCCAATTGGCAGTTTGGGAGACTACACCTAAGTTTCTCTCCCCCAGAACTGGAAAAGTCCAAAACAGTCAATTTCAGGAAAAACTACCCCTCATGGGCAGCCAATCAGAAGCTGTAGAAGCTGTTCCACACCTAGCTTGAGCCAAGTAAGCCAGGAATGCCAGCGTCAAGACTAGCACTGGAGACAAATTCTGTTTGCCCCTTGTCCCTCCCTGCCAAGGGAAATGGCATGCAGACAGTGTTTCAGTTTTATATGCCCTGGTCCTTCCACCATACACTTAACAATTCTGAAGGCCAAGTTCCCATCACCCACAACTATCTGTAACTATAGTTCCAGGAAATCCAATGCCTTCTGACCTTCAAGCGTCCTGTGCAAACATGGACACACATGTTTAAAATGTAAAAGCTCTTTTTGACTCTCCATGATTGTCTCCAGGACAATGTAGACAGATGCCCCACAAGTTTT